CACCCTCCCCACCAAAACAATGAGATGTGCCCCAGTAATAAACCCTGCATCACCACTGATTTGAAGGAACTGGTAAAAACATAAAAACAGAACCTTCAGGCAAGAAGACTGGAAATTATTGTAAGCATAATTTTTTTCTTTAGATTTCTTCTCTGCATTCAATATGATTCAGCCAGATATACTTTGTCCGAGACTCCTAAAGACTCATATAGAGGCCTCAACAATCACCCGGATAAAATGCTACCTGACAAATAGACCACCGTTTGTGAAACTAAAGGGGCATATGTCTTGCCAGGTAGTTATTGACACAGGACCACCACAGGGGACAGTACTCTCACCATTCCCTTATACTGTATATTGTACAGTTCTGACTTCAGTCATATTATCTACAGAAATAATATGACTCCACGGTTGTTGGGTGCATCAGAGATGGACAAGAAAGTACAGTGAAGCGCTTTGTATGTCACAAATGGCATACAAATGGCATGGTGTGTTAACAATTATCTGATATTGAGTGTGAAGAAAACAAACATAAACAAGGTAGAGGAGTGTAGATACAGAATAGAATATAATAGAACATTCCTTTATTGTGGTGTTTAAAGCAGAAAAAGGTTACATTAAAAGTGGTCACACAATGTCAGAAGAATATCAGAAGAAACAGGAACAAGTTGAATGTTATGAACATATAGGAGAGGAGGTGGAAGTTATGGGGGATTAAAAATACCCCTGTGTTTACATGGACAAGACTCAACTCTAGAAAAAACTGTGAAGCTGTCTACAAAAAGGGACAATGCAGACTGTAGTTCTTAGGGAAATGTTAATCAGTGTTTGCAAAAAGATGCCACATGTCTTCTATAAGTGTTGTGAAGAGTGTGATCTCTTCAGACATTGTCTACTGGGGTAACAGTATCAAACTATGTAGAGCAGCTTAAGCTGTCAAAGAAAGCTGTCTCTGTTCTATGAAGGCTCCGAGAACATCTGGAGATGATTTCACGAAGAAGAATTCTTCATAAAAGGAAGAAAATTATGGAAAACTGCGGGGTCTTCGGAAGACAAAAACAAAAAAACAAAAACAGAA